TTTTTTTTTTTTTTTTTTTTTTTTTGGTACTGGAGCTCGAACTTGGGACCTTACGCTTGCAAAGCCGGCAGCAGAACCACTGAGCTAAATCCCTTGCCCTGCAGGATGCACTTTGATTTCAACTGCATATGGAACATTCACCAAGATAAAACATATGATGGGCAACAATGCATATCTCAATAAATCCCAAAGAGGTAAAAGCATGTACATACAGTATGTTCTCAACAGGATTAAACTATCAAGTATATAATGAGAACATTCCCAACTATTTGGAAAATAGGCAATACATTTTCAATAATCCAAAGGAAAAAAATCACAATGTAAATTAGAAAACACTGTATCAGGAAATGAACAATAATGAAAATACAAATTATCAAATTCTATGAAAAAAGAGGCACAAAGTTTAAAAACCACCTGTGAGAAATGATAGAGAAGTGCTATACAATAAGACAGGCCCTTGACATGCCTCCATTTTTTTCCACAGAATGTTGTTTTTGGAATTTAAGTCTGTGCTGCTGGGCTTCTGCCCAATGTATCAAAATGGGTTTGTGACTGAACTGTGTGACCTTTTCAGAGTGTTCTGTTAAACTCTGCCCCCTCACAAGAAGGTTAAGCTCCTCCCCGCCTCAGGAATGTTCTATAACTCCACCCCCTGCTTCAGTAAGCATGCTCACAAGGCATGTGTTTAGGAATGTTCTGTAACTCCACCCCCCTTTACTGAGCATGCTCACAGGGTGTGTGTTTCAGAAATGTTCTGTAACTCTGCCCCTTTGCTTCAATAAGCATTTTTGCCTACCCCGCAGATCTCTATATAAGGAGATGCTCATTTCTGACAGAGCACTCAGACTCCTCTGAGGCTGGCAGGGCTTGCTGGTGTAATAAAGGTTTTTTTTCTTCCACCTCTTCAACTAACTGACCATCAGATTTTTTAGTCTTCAAATTTTAAGAGCTGTGACCCAGAGCTGTCATACTGAGCTGTAACTCTTGGCTGGCTGCAGCACTGAGCTGACTGCTCTGCCACCGAAAGAAGGATCTCTGACCCTCAGACAAGCCATACATGAACTGAAATCTGGAAGGTGAACAAAATGAACAGGTTAAGAAGTAACAGCAGTGCAGAAAGATCCATGTAGGCCAGAATGAATGACACACTGCACAGAGGTGTGGGGGAGAGGGGTGGTAAATGGCATTCTACACAAAGCCAAGGAAAGTACTTTCTTCAAAAGGAACACAGTAGACACTTTTGAATGACAGTGAAAGGTCAAGTTTCACAGATTTTAAAATGCCTGGATTTGGGACCTGGAAGACACTGTTGTTATTTCTTAGCAAACACTGTCTCACTACAAGTTGCTTAGCCTAACTGATAGTTTAAGAGGCAGAGATAGGAGAAATAATACACAACACTAAACAATAATTCCAATTACTTAAAATGTCAGCATGCGTATGTGTAATACACAAACAAAAAGAACAAATACACTGAAATCACTGATTACATATGGACTCAGATAATGGATGACTTTTTTCTCATTTATAATTCTCAGTATTATAGTTTTTAACAACAAGGAAATGTTAGTTATAGAAATAAAAGTTGTTTTACTTCATCATTTCTAAGTTATATAGAATCAGACAAAACAATGAAGTCCAGAATTAATTCTACAAGTACCTTTACATTGGAACTTAGTAACATATTTTATTGAAAAGAAAAGAATATTTAGTTGGGGTTCTTACTATAGATTAAGAAGAAACAAAGTAAGATTCTAAAACTCACTAAATTTGAGAAAGTTGATGACTAGAGAGCTAAAATATTTTGCTGGTTTTGTTCCTAAATTTTTGTTGTAAAATCTAAGTTTGAAAAGTAATTAAAGGAATAAAAAGGTGGCAGTCACAAAAGACCTTAGAGATGATGGTCTTAAATCTTTCACAATCCTCTGTGACCTCACGTCCACTTACCCAGTGGCACACTTCTTGTATTCATTGCCAGAGAAACCACAATTGCCAAATCTGTCACCTTTAGAATTCACTTCAATGAAACAATCTCTTGGGGCAGCCTTGGCTTCTGTAACATTAAACATTTAGAAGAGAAAAAAGTTATGGCAATTTAACTGAGAAACAAAAGTACACCGACCATAGTTCCTAAACCCTGCCTCCACAACTGTAAAAAGGTTTCAGGTCTTAAACATAAAACATTTTTGTTCCACATTCCATATGAAACGTAAAATGTAAACATGAACCAGGTGTGTTGGTGCACACCTGTAATCCCAGCACTCCGGGAGGCTAAGTTTGGAGCCCAGGTTGGGCAATGTAGCGAGACCCTATCTCAAACTAATACGTAAAAAAGTGGGCTGCAGATGTATCTCCATGTGAATGCCCTTGGTTCAATCCCCAGTACCTCAAAAATCAAATTATGTATAGCTTAATTTTTTTACCTAAGTGTCAATGCCTAAAATATTTTATTGAAAGCATTTGCAAGCCAAAATGCCAACAGTTCCTCTTTAATAAAGGAAGTTTGCTTGCCTATCTTACACATCCAACACTATGCTGCATAGTTTTAAGGAAAATGAATGTGGGGCAGAGATACATCAAAGAAATTAAAAAAGCAGAAGATTAAAGAAGACAAAAATGAATACAGAACACCTGCACAGGATAAATGCCACATGACACTATCCTCAGCCAAACCCTTATAGTATCAGAATAATACACAAAGAACAAAGCACCTATAGTTAACTCAGTCCTGGGCTTTTCTGCAAACATTTATGAAGATAATATCTTTGTCAAATAATAGTACCTGCCTTGTTTAAAAGCCTACCTGCAGTTACTCTTTTATTCTAGAATAACTTGCCTATTCCTCCACAACCCTTCAGAAGCTGACAGACCTCCCCACTCTATCTCACGACGTGACTTACATAAGTTTCATTTATTTCTTAGTTGGCCTTTCTTACAACAGAAACTAGAGACAGTAAAAATATGGTCTGAACACCAACTTCATCTTCACAGAAATCACTCCAAAAGGACCTCATGCATTTCCTAATTCATACAGACAAAAACGCAAGGAACATGCCTGGGATGGATATTAAGGGCACAGGATAAAGAGAATTAGAATTAGGCTGAATTTACTAACAGGCTAATGAAGCAGAGATTCTACATTTTAAAACTGCCACTCAGAAAATTAGAAAGGCCTCTAACAAGTTTATCAGGTTGGTTGGCCAAAACAGAACAAAAGAGAAAAAGAGGCAGAGGATCATGGCCTGACTTGAGGCAGTTTATAGAAAAAAAAAAAATGCTTCAGTAAAGGGAAAGACAAGCTTTTAGGAAAAACCCCAGTGTACGACCAAATTTTATGCTATTAATCATTACCTCAGCCATTCCCAAGGGATCGAGGCCTGGAAATTGTGCTAAATGTGTGCAGTCTACAATGCTTAGGCTGAAGCCCTAAGCTCCACCGTGATGGGATTTGGAGATAAGCCTTTTAGGAGAGTTAGACGAGGTCAAGGGAGGAGAAGAAAGGGAGAGAAATCTCTTTTTTCCACCACATATGAGGACACAGGTAAGACACAGCCTTCTGCAAGTAAGGAAGAGAGCCCTCCCCAGGAACCAGGTGAGCTGGTACCACGATCTTGGCTGTCACCCTCCAGAACTGTGAGAAGTGAGTGAGCTTAAGCCGCACTGACTCTGGCATCTCGTTATAGCAACCTGATATGATCTCAATATTTGTCCCCTCTCCAACTCATGTTGAAATTTAATTGTCATGGAAACACTAAGAGCTGATAAAGCCATGAGATAGTTTCTGTTGTGTCTTGAATGAGAAATGCCCAACTGATTGGCTTAGCACAGTTCTAGGTGTGGCTGAACGGATTTACTGAAGACAGAAGCCCCACCCTGAGTGAGTGGCACCACTCAGTAGGCAGCCTGAATGGAATAAAAAGACAAAGGAGGAAGAAGTCTTGCTTCTGTTTCTTTGGAGGAGCTCCAATCTTTGCCTTTGTCCTGGTGCACAGCTCCTGGCTTCCAGCACAGACCTTCAGCTTCCTGACAGGGACTGGCACGGAACTCTACAGTGAGCTCCAGGCCTTCACCTTCTGACCCTGTACTTCAGACCTCCAGTGCAGCTCTTCGGCACGTGTCCACCTCTAACACTGCAGGCGGCCACGGTAGGCTCACCTTGTAAATCCATATATAACATACATCTTGTATTAAATGTTTCTCTAGTGAGCTGACCGGGACAGCCCTCCTGAGGGGGTTAATGCCAGTGTAAAAGGGTGAGCTTGGCAGTTAGCCTCTTGTCCCTCCTCCTGTCACCATGTGACGACAGAACGAAAGCTCTCACCAAATGCTAGCACCTCAGTCTAGGACTTGCCAGCCTGCAGAACTGTAAGCCAATAAGTTCTGTTCTCTATAATTTACCCAGACTGTGGTATATTCTGATAACAACACAAAACAGACTACAACAGAACAGCAGAATAGCGATCAAACAGCAAAATATAGCTACTCCAGTATCTGGAATTGAGACAATGTACCTAGAAAACAACTTGGCAAAGAGAAAAAAAGATCTCCAGGAATCAAGGAGCTGATGGGAAACTAGAAACAACAGAAAACTGGAGAAAAACAGAACAATCAAAAAAAAAAAAAAAGATCAAAGCAATATGTAAAGTGCACCCTGGCTCCTAAGGAAGGGACCTGTTTTCACAGACACAAGGTAAGCAAGGAGATTTCAACAGTTCCAGGGAGAAACAAACTGGGCCAGAAGCACGAGAACCAAGAAAAGCGATGCTTATTGTAAACTGTAAAAGCAGGGAGGTGTTTTACTCTGAAAGTGACTCCTGCATAGCAGGGTAGAGTTGGAAAAGAAATCCAGAGCAGCGCCTGCCCGATTTGAGAGCTTAATCAGGAGGTGTTTGGAGATGGGGATAATTACTTAAGACTGGGCCACAGAAATACTGTGAAACTACGTCACCTCCCAGCTGGGCAGGAATCAGCATTTACACACGAAAACATGAGTGTGAAAACAAAACAGCTCATCTCAGTGCCTCACTAACCTTCCCCCAGATTCACTGGATTCCAAGACTGTAGACCCTGGGAGAGACACTAATTCAAAAACAGAGAGGAACTGTCTTTGGATTCAGGTCTTTTTCTTCGTTGGTTTTGGGGGGCTTGGTTCCCCTCCACTTCATTTCATATTTTTCTCTTCTTTCCTTTATAATTTTTTCTCATTTCTTTATTTTGCTGGGTTTTTTTCTTTTTTCTCATTTGTACTTTTCTGTCACTTTTCTACTAATTTCCTTTTATTGCTTAATAGGATGACTTATCTCACTTTTCTCTCCTCCTGTTCATCTTCCATTGCTTAATTCCTCAAATTTTACTTCCATTCTTCCGTTTCCCACCCCTCCATCTTTACTAGTATAAACACTAAGCTTTATTCATCTTTCGACAGTTAACTCTAGGGTATGACCGTTGAGTGCTTTTCTATTGTCAGTGGGGGTATAGTTGCAGCATTTAGTAGATATTTACTTACTATATGTCAGTATTTGGTCTTAGTGTCTATGCTATAAGCGGTCTCTTCTCTATAGTTAAGAGGGGCACATTATTGGTTCTTATGGTATGTCAACAACCCAATTTGTTGTGGGCCCTATTAATGCTGCTGATTTTGTTACTATTGCCAAGGTGGCACAGTTGTTGCTGTGAACTGCTTTGCTCTGCATGCTGATATCTGAACTGCCTCTGTGTCATTAACAATAAATACTTCTGGCCTGGCCAGGGACTGAGCTCAGTGGTGCCATGCCTTCCTCACAAGCACAGGTCAGAGCTCTATCCCTGACAGCACAAAATTGATAAATAAATAAATAAATTAATTAATTAAATATAAATAAATAAATAAATTAATTAATTAAATAAATAAATAAATGGGACAATACTTCTGGCTATTCCCAAAGCACTGGGTGTTGTGGTGATCACACTGCATCTTCTGCTCCCAATTCAACAGAGGTGGGTGGATCTTGAAACAGAGAAAAGCCTATTGTTAGCCAGGCCTTGAAAAGCAGTAACTAAAGAGATCATCTCCGCACTAGCAAGAAAAATCTTTTTTTTTTGGTTTTTCGAGACTGGGTCTCACTTATGTAGTGAGACTGACCTGGAACTCACTACATAGCCCAGGCTGGTCTCAAACTCACAGCGATCCTCCTGCCCCAGCCTCCCAAGTGCTGGGATTACAGGCATGTGCCACCCTGCCTGGCTAGCAACAAAAATTTTTCTACTACAATCAACCTTCAAACCTCAGTGCACACACATACACAAAACAAACCAACAACAATAGAAACATGAGAAGACAAGGCAACAAAATGCCTCCAAAAACTTCCAAACCCTGCAAAGCTGACCCTTGGAGCACTCAGGGAGGAAATCCAAAGCCACAAAGCTGAACTATTCAGAATGATGAAAGGAGATTTAAAAAGATCAATGAGGTGCTCAGTGAGCTCAAAGAAGCTACAACTAAACATATAACAGATTTAATAAAGAAAATAATTGGTGAGTTTACAAAGACACTAATAAAAAGCTATCTGAGCTTTAAAAAAATAAAACATGAATGATCAGTCTGGTAAAGAATTAGAATACATGAGAAAAACTGAAGTTATTAAAAATTCTATTGAAAGCATGGACAGCATAAGTGGCCAATATAAAGAGTGTCAGAATTAGAAAACAGGGCTGATGCCGTTGACCATATACTTAGAGATGCCTTAAAAACAAGAACATGAAAAATGGATCCAACAGCTGCTAGATGATGCAAAGAAGATTAGTCTAAGACTAGAATCAGTGCAAAATTAGAAGACTATACAGAAGGAATTAAACCTGTTTATAGAAATAATAGCAGAAACTTTCCAAATATAGGGAAAGAATTTAACTTATAGAATAAGTAAGGCATACAGAATCTCAAATAACCATGATCAAAAAGGAACTCCTCCAGGAAACATTATAGTGAAAATCCCAGAAGTCCAAAAGAAGAAAATCTTAATCTTTTAATGCCTAGTGATCCATTTTTTTAATGTCCATAACAATGGAACATAATGAAACACGTTCTCTTCAAATTATTATTCCTTCAGTTTTTTTGGTAACATATATGAATTTTATTTAAAATACAAAAAAATCAATCTTTGGCATGAACAGGTTAAAAACTGTTAGAGAAAAGCAATAAACCACTTACTTATAAGGGTAACCCATTGGAATTACAGTAGATTTCTCAATACAAATCTCAAAAGTCCAGGAGAGCTTGAAGTAAAGTGTTTTAAACCTGAAAGAAAATACCTTCCTACCCAGACTGGTATATGCTACCAAAGTATCTTTCAGCAGTGACAGAGAAATAAGGCATTTCCAGGTCAAAGAGGATCTTAGGAGATTCAGGACCATTAAACCAACACTCCAAAAAATTCTCAAGGCTATCCCAGAAAGAGACGATGAAGCTAACAACGCTAAAATGTTTAATGGATGAACACACCATGCAGGGCAAGCAGTTAAGCAGAAGGGGGAAAGGGAATCAGCAAGTGAGATTGTTGCATTGCTCTGGAAATGGATTTGCTGTCCCTACATGCAATGCTTCTGCCAAAACTATCCGTGGTCCTTTACAGTTCCTGACTCACCACATGCTCTTCCACACACCCTTGCTTCTGATCAAAGAACTCACTCCACAGCAACTGAAGAGCAGCCATGGACCCACGGTTCTCACCATGCCCCTCACTATCCTGAAGCAGCTGTCTTCATGGACCGCTGGAAATGCCTTTGGCAGACTGTTACAGCACCAGCTAGATGGTTACACCCTGAAGGGCTGGGACCAGGTTCTCCAGAAGGCTATGCATTCTCCGAAGACTTCCAACAAATCATGCTGATTTTCACATAATGAGGATTGGAGGGAAAGTCAGCAAAGGGTGGAAGTGCGAGCAGCATCTCATTGTTACTCCTAGTGACCTACCAGCGAAACTGTTTCCTGTTCCCATGATCTGTGCTGTGCTAGCTTAGAGGTTTTAGTCTGAAAGAGAGGAATTCACCACCACAAGCCACAATGATTGCACCGAACTGAAGTTAAGCCACTCACACAGCCACACTGGACTCATGCTTCTGAATCAACAGGCAAAGAAGGCAACTACTATGCTGGCTGGGACGCTAATCTGACTACCAAAGCAAAACGGGACGCTGCTCAACAGTGGAGATAAAGAACAGCACTTCAGGACTGCAGTTATGGTTTATATCTAGATGTCTCTCTGAAGCCTCATCCAACAACAGCTGGGGCTTCGGGGAAGCGATTAGATCATGTGGGCACTGTCCTCATTGGGTTGGCCCATTAATGGGTCAGCAGTTCAATGTACTGTTAGGAGCTGGGGCCTGCATAGAAGAGGCAGGTCACTGGGCGTGGGACCTGGAAGGGTAAATTTTCCTCCTCTGATCCACCCTTCTCCCTCTCAGCTTCTGGCTGCCCTGAGGTGAGCAGCTTTTCATCCACCACAGTCCCTCTGTGTCTTCTTTGGAACCACTGACCCTGAACTGAAATATAAGCCAAAATAAACCTCTCTTCCTTTAACTTGTTCCGTCAGGTATTAAGTCCCAGGAATGACTAAGACATCCCTTATGGCAATTCTTATAATTACCACAACCTGCTATTAAAGGTCAATGAAGACTTCAACAACCAAATGCAAGTTACTAATGGCCCAGATCCTTTAGAAACAAAGGTCTAGTCACCCTTGTAGGTCAAGAATCATGACCACCTGAGGTACTTAGTGAAGATAAAACAATACAGAGAAAGGGCCAACATAGATGCCAGGTATGACCATGTAAGTCATTACAGAAATGGGGACTGACTGTATTAGTATTTCTCCTTTATTTTGTTAAGAATATAATCATGACAAAATGCATCTTTCTCCTCTCTCATTCCTTTATCGTGTAGTATAAGATGTACTGATTGCATATCTCGTCAGGGCAATTTTGGATTAAATTCAGAAAAATAAGTAAAGCAGAATGCCCTTATATACAGGCCTCAATCAGTTTTAAGCCTGAAGAAGAAAAAAGGCAACCTCCTTCCAATAGGAAGAAATTCTTCCACAGACAAAGACATCAGCGTTTTTCCTGCCACTGAAATTAAACTAAAACACCAGCTCCTCCTGAGACATGAGCCTGCCAGCCTTTCCAGCGGAACTACACCAACAGCCCTAGTGGTCCTAAGGTGTTTAGATTCAGATTCAAACTAAACCATCACTTACGTATACAGAAAACCAGCCAAATGGGGGTGGGGGAGGGAGAGAGAGAGGCTGCACAAAATTATTCTAGAAAAAGCAAAAGGCAGAAAAGCAACTGTAACTTACCGTACACTTCCACTGTGAACAGCGTTACAGTGCACAGTGTATGGCTACTATACAATAAACAGACAACACTGCTTAACTAAAACTAAAATTAATCCATATTAGAAGGGTGGAGAGTGGGAAATGGAAACTGTCAAGGGTGAAGGAAGACCAAAAATTAAATCTCCTCTTTCATAAAGATAAAAAAGCAGCATTACCAAGAGATTATCTAAGGACCTGGAGAAAGTCACAGAAACTAAGCTACAAAAGGTATGTTTTTACCTCAAAGATGAAGATGATGGGTAGAAATAGGCTTTAATTTTCATAATAAACCTTACAGAATAATTTCATTTATTAATTTCTGGTGTACCTCTGATAAAAAAACACTTTAAAGAAAAAAACATGAAAAAAACAAAAACAGATTCTAACTATCCGTCAGTAGGAAAACGGATAACTATGCTTTTATTTATTTATTCCATTTAGCTAATGGAATCCCCTAAATACTCTGATATTTGATTAAAACACATGGACCTCAAGAACATTCTGAAGGGATGATGCCAACAGCAAACCCAAGCATACAACTTCACATTATTAAAAGTAGAAAATGAGGGCTGGGGTGTAGCTCAGTGGTACAACACTAGCCTAGCACGTACAAAGTCCTGGACCTGAGCCCCAGCACCACAGAAAACAAAACAAAAACAAAGAGAAACCCTAGCAAGTAATGCTCTGTGTATTTTATACACGAAGTATTAAGACAGACATAGCTATAGAAAGCAAAAGCAAAAACAGTTAAATTTGGGTGTTACTAAAATTCAGGACCACGACTGCCACTAGAAAAAGAAGGAAGATAAGATAAAAGAATAGAAATAAGAACTCGTTATCAGGAATGTTGTATATTCCTTCTTTAAAAGTCTAGGGGTAATAAAATTATAGCAATCTGTTAGAGATATCTTACTTGAACCAAAGATGACTTGGCACTGAGCATCGTAGTACTGACACATGCCGTTGTAGCAGTACGCCTTGTTATTCTGGCAAGGGTAGCCGTTCTGAATAAAAACATCTGGCTGGCAGAACTGAGAAGAACCATTGCAGTACTCTGGAACATCACATTCATTAGTTTTTCCTCGGCATAAAGAACCTCCTGGAAGGAACTAGGGCAATGAAATTAAAATTAAACAGGAATATCAGGACAATTTCCACAAATTTCACAAACTGGAGATTATAGTATCTTTACAACAATAAAGGGCTTTACCAACAACAAAAGATTAAATAAGCCGTATAAAAATGAACAAAGGTCAATAATAAGCAATTCATAAACACAGAAAATGAAAAACTAACTTCACCGGTAACCAAAAGAAATAGAAACTGAATAAAAATGCAAGAACGTTTTACCCTATTGCACTAATTAGAATTACAGTGCCTGCTACTAACCAACATTATAGCATAAAGAAAAATATTTGGCAGAAGTATAGGCTGATGTGTTTGCAGAAGATTTAGAAAATGTGTAACAATATAATATGAATGTGCATATTCTTATTCAATGATTTCTCTTATACGCAAACTAAATGTCCACTAGCAGTTGGCTAGATATATTATTATGGTACAGCCACCCAAAGGAACAGTAACTATAAGCATGTAGAACTACAAGACTGGAGAAAGTCTGAATCTTATGGAAGAGAACAGGTAATGAAATATGTGTCCTGTATCTGTGTTTATCCATTTACAAAGAATCATACACTGTACCCTTACATTTCTATGGAAACAAGTCACTAACAAATTATCAACACTGGCTACTTGATGAGTATAAAAGGATAGCCTTTCATTTTCTATACTTTGGAATTGCTGAATTATCTTTAACAACCATACATTACTTTAAATTTTTAAAAAATTGTTTCAACTTGGGGAAAAGTGACTAGACCATTTATCATAAAAGAATAAGCTTTAAAATTGCAAATCAGTGGCTTAAAATTTGTTCCTATAATCATACAATGAAAAGATCTTTCTTAGCACACTCAGAAAACAAATTTTGATACACAGATTTTTCTTTTTCTACTTTGTTGTTCCAAATAAGGACGAATTCTTACTCGGCAGTCTTTGCAACAGTCGCCATATGCACACTCAGCAAATGATTTAAGCTTACAAGTACTTCCTTCACAACACGGGTCCAATTCACATTCCTGCAAATAGAAAGTGATTGTGAACGTGACCTGAATATTCATTAGTCAAATTCTTTTCTTATAAACATTCACTTTATTCTAACTTGGATATCAGTTACTTTCCACCATCACTAACTGTATTTATGGACTTACTAGCTAGAAGTATTTAGGTCTCAACATATTTCAAGAGACTGGAATCAGAGTACGTGCCTCAGTCCACCATAATAAAATACCACAGACCGGATCACCTACATGACAAAAATTTATCTTCTCACAGTGTGGAGGCTGAAGTCCAAGATCAAGTTTCTCCCAAATCCGGATTCTGGTAAGACCTCTCTTCCTGGCCTGTAGAAGGCTACCTCCTCAGTGTGTAAGGTATCTAGTGTCCCTCCTACCAAAGACAGGCATCCTGTTGGCTCACAGTCCCACATTCTGTTCTTATTTACCTTAGTTATCTCATCAGCCACACTGGTTGTTAGGGGTTCAATACACAAATTTTGGGGATCCACAATATTCAGTCCATAGCAGTATATTTAATGATCACAAAGAATTAAGCACTCATGAAAGCATTTCTCTTCATTTTCAGGACCTAGCTTTTTTGTTGGTTTTCACGTCTACCCAGGGAGGTGGTGCTGGGGACCCAACCCAGCCCTGCATATGCTAAAGCATACAACTCTATCACTACAGATAGCTCCAAGAGGCTTCGTTTACCACACTTCAGGCTGTCTCCAACCTCCCACCTGCACAAATATCATCTCTCCCAGGTTAATACAGCAATATTAATAGTCTGGTTTTTATAATGTGCTGTACCTTGTTGCAACTGGGAAAAAACTGGAACAAGAGTACATGGGACTGTACTGTTCAAGTTTTTGTCAGCTTATAATTATTTCATTTTTAAAGTGTTTTTAATTTTATGTGTTCTTATTAACAATAATTATACACATTTACTGGATACAGTGTGATATTTCAACACAAATTCAATGTGTACTAATCAAGGGTCATAAACATTTCCATTCTCACAATAAAAATTTTAAAATAAATTACTTATAATCTATACAACCTTGCACCCTACCAAAAACAGAAAGTCAAAAATGGATCAATGGGGGGCAGGGAATGGATCAATGGACCTAAATGTAAAAGCTAAACTATGAAACCGCTAAAGGAAAACTTTGTAATTTTAGAGACGGCAAAGAGTTTTTAGATATCACACCAAAAGCACAATCCATAAAAAGCACAATAAAATGGATTTCATCAAAAAGCAAAAACTCTAACTGCCTAGAAGACACTCAAGTTAAAGGCAAGCTACCATGTGGAGAAACATTTACAAAACAAAATATTTAACAAAGAGCTTATTCCTGGATTACACAAAGAAATCGTGGACGTCATTTACAGCCCAATCTGAAGAACAGAGAAAGAGGAGCTGAACAGACACATCACCACAGTACAGACAGCAGATGGACACATGGAGACCCGCTCAGCACACAGACCAACACCTCCCTGAGGCATTCCTCCCACCTAGCAGAAGGGTTACAATGAAAGACTGTCTGTGTGAAGCACCAGAGAGGGTACGAAACAAATGCGCCTCTCACACGTGGACAGGAGGAACGAAATTGGCACAAGCGCTTTGGAAAGGACAGTGATACCTCGGTTGTCAAATGGCTCCAAGCTCGAGCTTTCCACTACTTGTGAGCAAAGTTTGAAAAATACAGAAATACCTGCTTGGTCTTCATAACTTTGCTCTAATCGAATCGAATATCTGACTTGAAAAAAACCTGCAGGGGTGACGAATGAGTCCCGCATCACAGCTCACTGCTGACACCAAGCGGTGACACCTCAGTCTAAGCGCCTCTCTCGCCCAGGCAACTCACGGTGCCTGTGTTAAGTTCGTAAAACATTCCTCATTGCACTTGGTGTTTGCACTTTATTTGCATAAAATATCGTAATCGTGGCTTCAAAGGAAGTCCGTGATAACAGCAGTAAAGCTAAGAGGAAAACTGAGAACCACAACAGAGTCAAAGAAATCACTGTAAAATCTGTTAAAGTCCTGGAAAAAATGAACTTATAAGTGTAATTTCTAGGCCTCAGAACCCATTCTTTGGTTTTCCGTTACTTCTTAGGAGAAAAATATGTTCAGTTCTTGAACTTTTCAGGGTTCAAACACAAACTTAGAACAAACTGAGTTCGACAACTGAGGAATCACTGTACTTTGAAAGTTTCTCATACAACTATATGACCAAATCACTGCACTAGTTATTTACCGAAGAGACATGAAAACCTATGTCCACAAAGACAATCGATGCTTGCCTAAGGAAAATGGGGGAACAAGAAGAGGTGAGTAATACACCACTACGGGATACTGTCATTTGAAAATGAAAATATTAAAAACACCAATCTCTTGGGTTATCGTACGAGTTATACTCTAAAATATTAAGCAGAACCCCGACACACATCAACTGTGCAGTAACAGGCCAACACCGCTTCAGCAAGACACAACACTACTGCCCTTCTGGAAAGCACAGGCAAAGTGAAGGCCAACCGCGCTCAGGTAAGGAAGAGGATGCCCTGCTGGAGAGGACTGAGAATGCAGGCGGATTTACACACGGTTAAACATGTTTCCAAACACAACGCCAGGCCGAGGAGGGAGGACTTCAGCAGGCCATTCTGGGAGGACAAGAGAGATGTGCATGGGTTTGGGCAATGTCGGCGAGAGGTCTCATGAAGTCAGCGGCGAACAGGTAAACTAGAGATCAACGGAGAACAGCACCTTGAGTAGTAAGTACTTTTATACTGAAGCAGCCCAGAGGATGAGGCAGCCTTGATTTATTTTTCAAATGAGTACAACTGAATAAACACTTCCGTGGTGGCATTTGCCAGAATAGTTAACGCTTACAAATAAAGAGCCAGGTGAAAAACTGATTTGCTTTTTAAAGTAAATAGATAAGCTAATAATAACAAAAATGGTAGAGAAAAGAACACAGAACAGAGAGTGTTCACGGTACTTTCCTTGACTTCAGAGTCACATTCCGGGTAGAAGGAAATGACAAATTCCAGAAACACGGTCACACAGATAAAATAATCCTCATTCTGCCACTACAGATTATTTTAGCTCCTATGCCACAGTTGCACAAAACTAGTCGTTTTCTTTTCCTAAATCTCACAGTAATTTTACAACACAAAAATCAAAATTAAACTGACCTTTGAAGTACCACAGTCACATTCTTCTCCAGGATCCACCAATTTATTACCACAGGAGGGCGCACTGTAAGCTTCATCCGGCTTCGGGATGTTAAGGAGGCAGTTTCCTCCTTTATTTAAAGTTAACTTCTCAAAATCCTCTGCACTACAACTGCTGAAGTTTCTGGAACCTCTACAATAAATATTAAGAAAAAAGATCTTACACATAATGACTGCTCATTTTGAAACGCTTAAGTCATGTCTTTAACCAAAGAGCATTAAATACTGCAAATGCTCAAAAATAAACTAAGAAAAGTTGACAGAAATGAGAATAAGTATTCCTAATAAATACAGAACATGAAAGCTACTGTATGATAGTTCACAATTTTGGTTACATTATATTGTACCTCCATGACAAGATCTTCCAAAAAGAGCACTTACACAGAAACAAAACATCGTACTTTTCAGAAAGAAACCACAAAATTTATCTAGTTCTGTACAGAATTGAATCTTATTTATCTAACATAATAAAGGGGCAAATATTAGAAGCTAGCCGTATCTTGTTCCTAATCTTTCCCCACTCTGCAGGTAACATTCTTATGTTCCCTACCCCTGGCCGATTCCAGCACAGATGAGATGCATCACAGCCTTTGCGATGCATCAAGATGCACACACACATGTATGCCTATGTCTGCGAGAAACCCAAATTACAGGAAACTTTCATCAGAGGGCTGAGTGTGGCAGCATACTCCTCCAGCACTCTGAAACTGAGGCAGGATTGAAAGTTCCAGTCCTGCCTAGACAGTTCAGTGAGAGCCTGTCTCAAAATAAAAACTAAAAGGCTGGGAATGTAGCTCAGTACAAAGGCCCTGGGTTCAATTCCCAGTACTACAAGGAGGAAAAACATTGAGGGGTAGTCTCTTTTGTTTATTTCTTCTTCTGTGGCCTCAGCATTTGGTACAATTTTTTTTTTTAAGTCACAGTAAAACTCATAGTCAATGTGTTAATTTTAATAAGGAAAAGAAAAAAAATAAATGCTAAGATTAATTATCAAGGAGCTTTTCTCTCACTGTTTTCTTGCAGGAGTTTTATGGTTTCAAGTCTTATATCTCTGTTATCCATATTGAGTCCACTGTGTGTGTGTGAACTGTGAGAGATATGGGTCCAGTATCATTCTTTTGTATGCAGAAATTTAGTTTCTCTGGCACCCTTTATTGACGAGATGTTATTTTCCCCATTGTGCCCCCTTATTAGTTCACTGTGCATATTCGGGTTTAATTTTGAGCTCTCTTTTCTATTCCACTTGTCTACGGGTCTGCTTTTAAGCCAGTACAATATTGTTTTGATTACTACAGCTATAGTACCAAAAAGCTTCTGTACAGGGAGCCTATAGACTGAGAGATAATATTCGCAAACCATATATGATAAGGGGCTAATATCAAAAATTTGTAAACTCACAAAATTCAATAGCAAAATAACAAAGAACACAATATAAAAATGAGCAAAAGAGCTGAGCATACTGGGACATGCCCATAATTCTAGCTACTCAGGAGGCTGAGCCAGGAGGACAACCACTTCAACAGGGCCAACTCTGAGAGACCTTATCTCACAAAAAAATAAAAATAAATTAAAAGGGCTGAGGGTGTGGCTTAGTGGTAGAATGCTTTCCCAACATGCACAAGCCCCTGGGTTCAAAATAAGAACAAAGGATTTGAATACACCTGTCTCAAACAAAGATGTACAAATGCCTAACCAGTATATGAAACAATGCTCAGTACTATTGATCACCAGGAAAATGCAAACCAAAACCACAATGAAATCTCACCTTACACCATTAGGATGGATTTTACTCAAAACCTAAGGTGGGGAAGGGTGTGAAGAAGGAAACCCTTGTCTCCTGCTGATGGGAATGTAGACTGGTGCAGCTATTATGGAAATCATTGAGACTCCTAGGGAAATCAAAAACAAAACTAGCATGTGACTCAGCAATCTCTCTGCCAGACACATACAAAGGAAACAAAATCAGTACTCCACAAAGATACCTGCTCTCCCATTTTCAGCATTATTCACAACAGCCAAGACATGTGAACAACCCAAATATCCGTTAATGAAAAAATGAATTGATGTGTGTGTGTGAAATAGCGTACAACACACACTCTCTCACCATGTTACTGCACCAGAATGTACACATATTCCTTTACTAAGTGCTAGTGAGGCCTTGTACAAGAGGCCCACCATAAATCTTAGAGATAGCACCTTGGCAGGTCAAAGGAAGGCCAATGGGCTTACCCAAGAGACTGCACGCAGGCGAAGGACGGGGTCAGTGGCCATATTGGGGTCTCAAGGCCTGAACAGCCAATCAAGTTCTAACAAATTTCTGAGGGAGTCCTTTATGCTGCGTAATAAAAGGGACTGAGAACAACATCTCAGGGACACCAGCTCTAGACCCCCTGCCTTAACTTCATCCAGCAAGGAAGGTAGCTGTCTCTCCCCTATTTCTCTTCCTTCTTTCAATTAAAGTGATTTTGTTATTCCTTCTAAGTTTATATTTCTAATTCTTTACTAATGTAAGGTGACAGTTCCTGGTTGGTCAAAGTCCAACTGCTGCACTCATCCAGGATGTGACACCTGAAAGAATCTCTTCTTTCAGTTGCGCAATGGCACCAAAAAGGACTGAAAACTACGCTGCAGCACAGTCATGGAGGAAGCCACCTCCATCTCTCGCTGCTCTTTTGTACACCCAAAGAACTCTGAGAAACAAATCCTTCTTGGAGACATTTTGCCCTGGATAGACGTGATACACTCTTTTTTCCCAACAAGTTTCCAAGGAAGTAAGTCGTTCTGCCTTCCCGCTCTTGGAATTAGCAATCTGCCTAAGACACTGTGATACTGCCAACTACTATTTGACACGTCTTTGGATATGAGATGTTGAAAGATTTTTAATACATTGTCAGAAAAAGGAGAGAAACATGAACAGTCAACTCATAGTGAAAAAACATATGCAAGGGCATATGTTTTGATTCATGGAAAAAAGATCTAGCACAAGTCTTGCGACAATAACAGAGAGCCTTGTTTTCTGTAATCTTTTTCTTGTCACTCTTAAGAATATTGTCAAGGGGAAGAAAAAGAATATTGGGAAGAGAAGTCTTTCTGTGTACTATCAATCATCTGTTCATTCCAAAAATGTGTGTTGACCCTGTTTGTACAAGGCACCCTACTGGTGCAAGGAATGCAACTGTGAACATAGAGCCACAGGCCCTCCCGTGTGAAGGCTACATTATTCTAGGGCGCAAAGTAGACTCTGAACAAGAACAGGAGAGTATGAGAAAGTGAGGAGTGCTATGGGGAACAAGGCAGGGAGTGAGGCCAACAAGCTGTGCAGAGAAGGAATGGTGATTTTAAAAAGCAGTCCGGGCAGCAACATTTTCAGTCAAAACTGGATATATTTGATAAAGGAGAACTATAACTCCCACCCGTTAGATGTGAAAGGTGCCAAGTTCACAGTCCTATAACATCGTGAAATAAAGTCACAAGCCAAAGGGAGGAATCAGGAGAACTGCATTGGAAATAAGAAGAGAGGACTGGCTCCTGGCTTTCCAGGAAGGGTCCTCAAAGGGGTGGCCACAGAGGCTCCTTGTCGGGGTAATTTGTACAGCAAAGTCACAACATAGGTACAACATGAGTCAAACCACAACCAACCTACAGAATCACAAGTATAGCTGCTTAGCCAATACTGATCCAGTAGGGAAATGAGTCACACGGCAACAGCACATGGAAAAAGAACACAGGCATTTCGGGGGGAGAGATGGGTCCAGACGCTCTGGTCACCCACCAGGGCCTCTGAGGCCTGTCTGGATTTACCGGACCAGGTGGTGCTAATTATATAATCTCAAGTTATTGTTTATCTCCCAGGGAAGTACACAGGCCTGGCCACTGCATCTTTATCTTGAGGCCTGGCCTTCTTCAGATCTGCCACCAACCACAATTCTAAAGTCTTCCTTTTTCTGCTAACTTCCTTGACAGCCTAGTCAGACTCTGACCACCTATTTCTATAAATATATTCCAATAAAATTACTGAATATATATACACCTGCACAACAGAAAAGCACATTACAGGGAGAAGGAATAAGAGGTGCAAAGAACCTAAGGCAGAAGCCCACAAGGCACATGTGTTGGACAATAAGAAAGCCAGAGGGCTTGAGGCAGAATGAGCCAGTAAGGGACTGAGTAAAGAGAGATGACTCAGCAGAGGGGGAACAGAGCACTATAAAGATGTCTCCTTTTAATATGAGCGAACTGGGGACACTGGGGTAGGATGGGCAAACAACGGAAAGTATGAAAAAGGACACACAGGACTTGATCTACATTTCAGTAGGATTGCTAAATTAAGCACGAAGGTTGAAAGACAGCTTTTAGGAAAATCTACTCAAGACAAATCAGAACGATAACAGGGGAAGCAGGAAGAGTGGTTAGATTACTTATGCTTTAGAAGAACAGCCATGACGCGGAAGGAAAGCGAGACTGACCCAAGGTTGTGCTGAGCCAGTAGAAGGAAGGAGTTACTTCTAAGTCATGTGGGGAAGTTTGGCCAGATCGACTTTAAAGGGACAACAGACTCTGAGATACGGAGGAGAAGTGTCCAACACGTGCTATAGGATCACCCTTTGAGAAACAATGGGGATCTCAAATGGGCTTGTAAATGTTCATTTCCTAGTGCTGACCTTGGTAAGTATAGTGCCTGTCACATAGTACATACGCATAATGATCTCTGCAAAAATGCATTAATTAGACAATAACCACAGGAGTTGGGTGGGCGTGTGTATATTCCTACACTTAGGTCCTTAATTATAACCTGCACCAATCTACCACTTCTAAACACTTCTAATTTCTGAAATGAGCGTGTTACTTAGTAGTTAAAATAACTTCTTTCTAAAAAATGCTTTAAATGTTTGACCCTTGAACAACCTACCAAAGAAATACTTCACTTATGTTTGACAATAGTACCAAAAATTAGAAAACATAAGCACTGCTGGTTCTCTTCAGCAGGTGGAGCTAGGAGCAAACAGTACCGACAATGGACTTCTGCAATGCTTTGCAAGGCCCTGGAGGCATCAATCAGTGAAGTCAAGTCACTGCTCCACCAACACCCCTGGCTGGCACCTACAGTAAAAAGAAAGGTCTTTCTCCTGATAT